TGTAATATGGAAAATGTTTGGACTTACATATATATATATATATATATACCTTTGCTTTGGATATTAATTGATTTGAACTCGTCATACTTTTTGTATCTACTGCATTTGTATCTAGACTGAGTAGACTTATGCATCATTGCCTTAACTATCGTATCTGGGGAAACTGTTTTGTGTTCATCTATACATTGAACTTGTGAATCCATACTGGGAATATTATTAGATTCTGGAGATATGCATATATAACTATACATTTGCTCAGAATGATTTGTCATGTTATTCGTTTTATTAACTACACCGCTTGTGCGCACAATTACACCCTCCCAGAAGTTTTGTAGACAAAGGCTAATCGCTCGAGTGCAAGAAGGACTGCTCAAGCGCAAGAAAGATCGCTTGAACTAAAAACACCACCCTCCCAGTACTTTTGCATGCCTGCAAAAGTACTGAGAGTTCCCAAAGATTGCGCAAGCAACCAAAGGACCACTGGAGTGAACTGACCAAAATCTAGACAAAGACTCCTTTGAAAAACAAACTCCGAACCTGTTCCAAATGCAACAATGACATCCAAATAACCAAACTCAATCAAGAATAGAATGTATAAGGGTATGAACAACTATTTAAGACAATAAATACTGGATCCAAAATAAGAAACGGGTTGGGTCTAAACCAAAATCGTTATATATATTGAGGAGTGAAGTGAAAAATAGAATACAACAAGCACAACGAAACAAAACTATACACTGTCTTAATTCTTCATAAGTCTTCTATTCCTTGTTCTCTGAAATATTCTTCAATCTTGTTTTTATTCTTCTTCAGAAAACATATTTTGAGCTTAAGCTGTAGGTTTATCTACTTGTGAGAGTCATTACAGAAAAACATTGAGCAACATTTTTTTGTATCTATCTAAAAGAGATATTTACTCCAGCTTTCTTTGAAACCAGAAATACTCATTACCATTGTAAGAGGTCACTAGCTATCTTGTAAAGCTAGGAAATCTAAGGAGGATTGCGCCATGTGTATGAGATTACTAGCGCCCCTGTGAAGCTAGAAGATTGAAGATTAGTGGAAAATCTCAAATGAAGTTTGGGGAGTGACATAAGCTTGGTTTAAGCCAAACCATTATAAATTCTGTTTGCCTTCTCTTAACTTATCTCTTTGAATTTCATATTTATTGTGATATTTGTTTGTGTTAATTATCTGCCAAATTAGATGTTAATTTTTATTGGGTAATTGTTGTTTTTAATTTATAGAAACCCAATTCACCCCCTCTTGGGTTGCTTTTTGGGTAACAAATTCCATGGAGAAGCAGACATGTTTCTGTACTGTGACACTGCTCCTAGTTTATGGAATGCATTATCTCAAATGTATGCTCATGCTCATAATGATGTTCACATCTTCGAGCTCTACCAAGAGATAGCTCATACTTCTCAGTTTACTTTGGGTCTTATCATGGTTGAGTTCTTTGGGTATATTCAGGCCCGTTGGGAAGAATTGGCTCAATGAGCCTTTGACTGAGCTTCTGCCAAAGGTTGCATCTCTTGTGCCCAAGTGTCTTTCCCGGTAGCACACTTATTAGTTTTTGATGGGTTTAAAATCTAACTCGGAAGAGATTCAAATTCAAATTTAAAAACACATCACCTATGTTGTCTCTCTATGAGGCATTTGCTACCACTGATAGTGATGAACGACGTTGGCGATTAGTCCAGCCTAACCCTTCTCCGGTTGCTCCAGGTTTGTATGATCAGATGGCCTTTGCTGCAAGTTCTAGTTCTTGAGGTTCTAATGATTTTGTGACTTAGACATTGAATGCAAAATTTGTGCTTATGTGTTATTCTGTTACAACTGAAAGAGTAAAGTTTGAGTTCTAATGAATCAGTGAAATCAACAGTCATACAATTTGATCAATGTTGTGATTCTACAAGAATAGTTTGGACAGAGTGGGGGTTCTGCAATTAGTGGTTGACTGGGAAATAGTTTCCCAATTGTAGAGTTGTCACTCTATAAGTAGTAATCAACCAAAAAACTATTCACTAAAGGAGTAGAATTTGGGGTGTCACACTTGTAACCTTAGAAACAAAAACCTATATTTATTTTTTAATATATTCATTGATATTCCCGAGCTTTGTGGCGTCATAGTTACAAAGTGTGAAAACACACATGCGGAAAAGATGATGGAAAAATGGAAGAACATGCAATTTGAAGTGGAGGAGTTGAAAGATCATGGAGTATAAAATGGAGGATGAAAGATGATAGAGAGACACATGGCAAGACAAAAATAAAGATGGAAGAATAGGGTAGTTACTGGGTAGTTTTTTCTTGCAAGTTTTTGCCTATAAATAGTTATTCATAGCTACATTATAATCATCCAACTCAAATCAAAGACAATTAATTTCTATTTTTGTTGTCATTTACTTTATGCACTATATTTTGTGCACTTAGAGGTAAATTAATGGTTGATTTGATTGTTTACTCAATCATCTTTCTCAATCTCCCTCATTCTTTTAATTTTTCTTTCTTTACACATGGCATTTTTGATGCCTTCTTTATTGAGGTAAAAGAACTATTAACGCAATCACTTGAAAATTGGTTTAAATTTAATTTGTAAGGATTTTTTTAATCCTTATTGGCACAATCACATTTATGATATTTTCCTTCGTAAGAAAAAAAAGCCAACAATATTGGTTAAATAATTTTTTTATGTTTTAGATGCATATGATCTACATATACTTAAACAGTAAACAAAATGTGAAGAAATCAAAACAAATTTAATAAATACATAAAACATTAAACTTGTATTAATTTTTAAATTGCGTGAATTTTATTTTATTTTATTTTGTGTATTTGTCATTATTCAGTAATTTAAATTTTTTTTTTCATAAATGTGAAATGCTTTAAATGTATGTAGCTTGAGTAGATATAAAACTAGAAAAGAAGTGTTAAAATTTCTAAAACGTTCATAAAAAATACAAAGTGAAATTCTGCCGTATAGATTAGATGTATCCAAAAAGTACAGTTAGATTATATATATGAAAGAAGTAAATAAATTTGACTATAACATTGTAAAATTTTTATAAGACAAAAAAACGTAAGATCCAAAAAAATTCAAAATTCAGTTTTGAAAACTCATAACCAAACAAGTTTTGAATTCAATTTTTTAAAAATTATTTTAAAAATATACAACTCAAAAATTACTTTTAAAAACTTATAATCAAACAAATTTTACATTTTCAAAACTTTTTTAACAATTAATTTAAAACTAATTTCAAAACTAATTTTCAAAACTATTTAAAAACTAAATCAAACACACTATTTTGGCCTATTTTGATAAATTAATTAAAAATTATTTTTTTAATTTCTTTGAATCATATAATTTTTATATTTTCTTACACATTAAAAAAAAAAAAAACTTTTAACATACCCTCCCAAAATAAGCGTTTTTTTAACCCACCGAGTCAGGTTATTAATATACTCGATTGGTAGGAGTGTAATTTTGACTCGTGACCCGTGGGCGGCCTGAAACTCGCTCGCAGCCCGAGGTAGGCCCGGCTCATTAAGGCCCGTTTATGCCCAAGCCCAAGCCTAGCCGGAGGCCTTGAGCCAGGGCCTGGGCCATCGTTTTAAAACTCGGCTCGGCCTGTTGGCCCACTCTAAGCCCGCCTAAAAGTTCGGCCCGAGGCCTGGCCCACTTGCCCAGTGTTATTTTTAATAGAAAATAATAAAATTTTGGTAAAAAAAATAAAAAAAAATTTTAAAAAATTGTTTAGGCCCGTCCAAAGCCTGAGCCTTGGGGCCTGCGCCCGAGGCCCGGCCCACTGGCCCGCCTAGAGCTCGAATACCCTTAGGCCTGGGCTTAATTTTCTCGCCGGTGGCCGGGCCGGGTCAGGCCGGGCCAAAATTACACCCCTATCGATTGGATATCGCTCGTCATTGATATACTCGAATGGATACCGTCCATTTCTCCTGATATACCCTATTTATTAAGACTCCGTAAAATATCGTCTAATTCGTTAAGATTGTATCGATTTATATTAATTTGTATCGCTTTAATTGTTAACTGCAATTTAAATTTTAAAATTTATAATCTGTTAGCTGAATCGTTCTAGTCCGCTATAGTTAATACATATATATTTTTTAATTTTTAATAAAATATCAATGTAAAAATAAGTATAATAAAATTTAAAATATAAAATATAAAATTTATTACAAATTAATAATTATATATATAAAACATATTATATAAAATTACTTTATATTATATATTTAAAAAATATTATATAAATTAATATAATATATTATGTAAATATATGATAATTAATTAAAATATTTTTTAATCTATCAATCTGTCAAAAACCGTTTAAATTATAATTTGTCAATCTCTCTAACACATCACATCAAACCCAACCCAAACCCACCAATAAGTCAAAAAATACACTTTTTTAGGACATCCCAAACCAACCCTAAATATATAATAATTAATTAAAATATTTTTCAATTCGTAATCCTCAAAAAATCATCCAAATCACAATTTGTTAATCCGTTTGCTAACCTGTCACGTGATTTATAATTTTGCTTCAAACCATCCGAACCAACCCACACCCGTACTGATTACAGCTGGCTAGGGTTCTCATTTTCGCTCTCTCAATCGGCGATTTGCGTATATATAAAACATATTATATAAAATTACTTTATATTATATATTTAAAAAATATTATATAAATTAATATTATATATTATACAAATATATAATAATTAATTAAAATATTTTTCAATTCGTAATCCTCAAAAAATCATCCAAATCACAATTTGTTAATCCGTTTGCAAACCTGTCACGTGATTTATAATTTAAAAAATATTTGGTGGTCACAATATTCGCGGCTCAAATAACTCAAATTGACCAAAATAACGTTATTTTATATTATTTTATGTCCAAAATGATATTATTTTGATTAATTCAAGCCATTCGAGCTTGAAAAATTCGGAGCCAGTACAATTGCTGGTTATAATTTTGCTTCAAACCATCCGAACCAACCCACACCCGTACTGATTACAGCTGGCTAGGGTTCTCATTTTCCCTCTCTCAATCGGCGATTTGCGATAGCGACGATTCTAGCGGCTGCAATCTCCATCGGCGCTTACCACGGTGGTTCTCCGGCGTAGTGAGTTTCTCTCTCTCGTTCTCTCCTTTTCTCTTGGTCTCTTGTTTCTAGTGTGGAATGCACACACACACTCTCTCTCTCTCTCTCTCTAAAATGCAGACCACCCGGATTCTTCAATTCAAGCAATCGATAACGTAAAAATCAGGGGCTTTCATTTCCACTCTGACCCTAATTTTTCCATCATCCGTCTTCTCCTCAAGCCAAGCCTTTCTCTTCTCAGAATATCTTTTTCTTCAAAAGAATCATCCCCTCTCTCTCTCTCTCTCGCTCTCTCGCTCTCGCTCTCTCACATTTTGCATTTTTATTCTCGGATGTAGCAGTAGAAAGATCTGTGTTCTGTTTTTGTTTTGATTATGTGTGGGTGTGTTTTTCGTATTTGTTCTTTTGTGTCTTGTTTTTGTGCGTTCCCTTTCTCTGAGGTAGGGTTGTCTGTAAACTCAACCTTTTCAAGAACCCATTTGGTAAAGGATTCATATTTTTTTTAATCAGATTTGGAGAAACTTTCATGGCATTTAGATTTATGGGCTTTTTCTGATATTTTGTTTTCATGATTTTTTCTTCTTTCTTTTCTATCAAATTCTTAGGTACCCATTTCCAAAAGAATCAAAATTTCAGAATTTGATCATCAAATTTCAAGTTTTCATCCTTCAAAGTTGACCATTTCATGGTTTAAACACTCGGGGATTTCAGAATTACTGCTTCTTTTTATTTTTCCAATTTCAGTGGCACATTTTATTTACTTTTCGATTACTAAAAACTTATTTGCCTGTCTCAAGATTATAAATTTGATTACTTTAAAATAAGGTTCTTAATTAATTAACTAATGTGCATTTGCTTGTGTTGTTGAACCCAAGAAAAAAAAAAACAAAATTGAATGTGTTGTGTATTTGGCTTTGTCTGTGAACCTTCAAAAAAAAAAAGGGGGGCGGGGGGGGGGGGGGGATCAAGTTCGGTTGGGGAAAACCAATACCCGTTATGAGATGGGGAAAAATTATAATAGGGGAAGGGGGACGGGGAATTAATATCCACCTTGTTGGCCCCCATTGCTGGGCCATCAGATAGAGAAAGGGTTGGACACTGAAACTATTTTCTTATTTTATTTTATTTATAATTTTATGTCAAAAACTTTATGCACTCTTTGTTACTTCTGAGATTGTTTGTAATATATCAAGACAATTTATGCATTTTATTGTTGATGGCAATAGTTATAGTTGGTTCAAATTATAGCGAAAATGATACGCACCAAATAGCCCCTTGCTGCTTCCAGTCTTAGTCGCAAGGAAACATCGAGAAATAAAGGTATTTCCGGTGCTAAATTAAACATTCTTTCTTGGCATCGTACATTGAACAAAATATTTCTTTGTTCAACTCTGTTTTGCCAAACAATAATAGTTTACAATTTTTTCTTTTTTCTGGGTCATGTGAAGCATTAAAATCCTTTTTTGTTTGCTTATAAGCCCGTTTCTTCTGGGTCAAAGTTGATTCGATATTGGATTTTTGGGATAGTGCAAGAGAATGCAAAGCAAAATGATGTTGTTCTTTAGTCTGAAACTCGAGATGTGGAAATCATATAAACAATGGTCTTCAAAGTTCTGTGATTGCTCTGCTGTGGATGTTACTACTTTAGTATGTGATTGCCTACTTGATTATAATTGTATTTTATATAATTAAATGTGAACATCAATCCGTCTTCTGAAGCTCATGTCATGCCCTCTAGAGGATATACATGATTTTTGTCTGTCTCAATTTTCTTAAATTCTGTTATTATAGTGAAAAAGATGCAGTTATTGTCTATGGGTTATGGTAGTGTGTATATGTGGTGGGCATCATGCCATTTATTTGTTTTATTGCTTGTTTTTCTTAGGTAATGTTTGGATCAGGGATTTGATGAGGGAAAGGAAATGGGAAGGGAAAAGTGAATGAAATATAAGTTAAATTTTGTTCTCCTTTTTGTTCCTTTTTCTTTTCCTTTCGAAATTACTTCTCAAATTCTTGATCCAAGCACAGCTTTAGTGATATTAATAAACTGTTAGCCTGTGATATGTTTTGGCAAGATAGGGGTATTTTGTTCACTACTGCCTACAAAATGACTGGTATCGTTGATGTTTTGATGAGGTGCTATTTAGTATCCTCTATAATGATTCTAGAATAAGAGGAAAACTATTTACAAGTGTATGGAACTCACCCTTACATTGTTAGACATTCCATTTTTTATTTTAAACCATATGCATTTATACTTTTCTTGTATTTATAGTTTTCTGTTAATCTGACTCTTATTTTGGATTTTCCAGTTGGTGGAAACCTTTTAGGTAGTGTTTGGTTTGTTGGAATGAAATGGAATGGAACATCAAAATGTCCATTCCCATGTTAGGTTGACTAAAAAAATAATGAAAAATACAACACAAATGGAATCATCATTCACCCATGGTAAGGGAACGATCATTCCATCGGGAAGTCTAATTAATGACCATTCCATTCCATTTCATCTCATTCTAGTGAGCCAAGTAGAGCATTAGAGTTGCAGTAGCATCAGCATGAGTGCATAACTAGATTGGTTTAATACTATCATTCTAAAGGGTTGCACCACTGGGCATATCTAGTCATAGAGGATAAAGCCAAGTTAAGCTGCAACAATATTACTGTGGGCTTATATGCTTCCAAGTTTTTGAATTTGCAAAAAAGAAACTTCTAAGTTTTTGCTTGAACTTTGCTCTCTCTCTCTCTCTCTCTCTCTCTCTCTCTTCTTCTTCTTTTTTTTTTTTTTAATTTTTTTTTAAAATTAAATTAAATATCCAGGTTTTTTAATTTATTTTGACAAAGTTGTTTTTCTCTATGAAGGCCTTAGTGCGGAAATGATATTTTTCTTCAATTTCTGGTTTCTCTATGCCATTATAGATTTCCAATGAAAAGCAAAGCAAAGTGATGAATGCTTCTGACCTGAATTCCAATGTGGAATAATTGCATTAGTGGTCTTCAAAGTTCTCTGATTTCTTTCCTGTATGTTACCATTAAGTGAGCGAGTAATTAAGCACGATAGGTTGTGTTTTGAAGCTTGGTCAACAACAAAGATGCGACATCTTAACATACATGATTATTATGTCTAGGATATGTTATGGTAATTTATATGCAGTGGTGGGTGGTTTGCACATTTTTATTGTGTTTAATTATTTTGTTGGTTCCTAACATTTTTTGAGAGGTACCTAATTTGCTACAAGGCTGATTGGTGCTTAGCGGTTTGGTTCATTGATATTTGTCATGCTAGTTCGGTAGAATCCTTGACAAGGAGTTCTCTACTCCTACATGATTCAAAGTACAACATTTAAGCTACTAAGATGGGATCTTATTGATCTTCACCTAGCTGAAATGAAAGATTAGTGATTTTGAGCACCTAAATACATGGTCTGTTGTGAATATACTTGTTACAGGCTATACGAGCATGGTGCGAAAGTAATAATTTTTCTTCACTCAATTGTCACTTGGCTCTTCTATGCCAAATGACATACTAGAACTGAGGAAAGAACATTCCTTAAATATGATCCTAATTCGTATGCTAGAGTCATCCTATCATTGTTATACCTGACCCAAACTCAACTTGCATATACAATATCTGAAATTGCTATTAGGCTTGTTCATGAATCATTGTGACTGTTTGGTGAGACTAATGGTGTGATTATACCTACAGATATAAAAAAAGATTTCGGTAAATATATATGTTTTGTTTTTATATATTGGGCCCAAAAAGGATCTTCGATGTATAGGGATGGTAATTTGCATCGAAATGATGTGGACTTCCTATGATCTCTCCTGTTGGGACAAAGATGGGAGGTCTGAAGGTGGGGTGGGGGTGATAGGAATGGCAGTTAGGCAAGTTCAATATGGGATACTTCTCTCTTGTAACATCAGCAAATCCTATTCCATCCCTGAACCGACTGGGCAGCATCAGATTGCCAATGGGTTATAATTATTTAAGAAAATTTTGAACTGGTTTATAGTTATCGTAAGGAAATATTTTTAAATTACACAATACAATTTATATATATTATGCCATGTAAAAATCCACAAAGGACTTCATATTGGTGCAGGCTTGGGGCAGCAGGATGAGGATTGCTTTTATATAAATTGGAATGCCTTTTGCTCTTATTGTTTTCTAAGTTCTTTTAAATTAGTTTGTTCATCTTTAATTTTCTTTTTAATTATAGCAATGCGTTGACAATAATTGATAATTGATAATTGATTGACCAGATGCAAGAGATAAGAGTAGTCGTAGATTAGTTAATTCTTTTTGTAAGTCAGCAATATATAGAATAGTATCATTAATTACAAAACACAGATCAAAAATTAAAAGCATAACAAACAATACTTATATTAAAATGCGAAACCAGAATACAAAATAATAGAAAACTTACGATGGTTCACAATTGTGGAAGCAGATCGGACACCACATTCACTAAGTATATTTTTACTCTAAGCACCCTTAAACTTGCACACTCAAATTTGTTCACACTAATTTGGTACTGTACAACAGTCTTTGATATTGTGAAAGCTTGTTTTCTTCAGAAGAATAACTGGCTTTTATAGGAGAGACTTAGATTTGAAATTGTTTGGAGTTTGGGAATCTGCTTTCGCTTTTGTCCTTGTAGAGAATTATTATCTTTGAAAGGCATTATGAGATTGTTTTGTCTGTTGAGAATCCACTTTATGAGCTGGTTTGAGTATTATTAAATTGTTTTGTCGGTGGAAAATTCATTTTATAAGTTAGCTTGTCTTCTTTTGAAATTATTGTATTATAGAGCTGTTGAAATTGGAGATATTACATGATTTACAAATTGTTGAGATCCATGCCTTAACAATTGTTTGAGTAGTCATCATCAATTAAGTCTTGATAAGTATTGAGTAGTCATTTTGAACTGATTTATCTATATACTAACATAACAAAAGCAAGACTTTGGGTACCACCCATTTTTTGGTTAAGTTGTGTTCGTTGAACAAATTTAACATTTTCATGAGTCATTTTGAATAGAAAGGATAAAAACGTAAATTTATAATTTCAAAATTGGTTAAGCCTATAACCCACCTTTTCCCAGCAATTCCTTACCGCTTCAGAAATCGCTGAAAGATAAAGATGTAAATTCAAAACATTATTGTGAGCTATCCACGCTATTGCTGACTTAGGTCATGGTTGGTAGAGTTGTAGAGTTGTGGAAAAGTGGTTATAGATTATAGTTTAACAGATTATGATTTATAGTTGTGAACATAAGCGGTTAATCTGTTTAGTGCAGTTGTGAGATTATAGATTTAAGAAGCATAGTAGTGTTTGGTTAATAAATTGTAAAATAGTTTTTTATTGTATAATTGTCATTTCTACCGTTATATGATATAAAAATGATTATTTTGTCATTTTTTTTCAGTTTTAATTTTTTTAAAAAAATTTCATTAATAAAAGTTAATATAATTAGTATTAATTAGTATCAATTAATATAAAAATTGATACATTTGCTAAAATGGAATGAAAGTATTATTGTCACAATTATTTTCCATTATAAATTAACTAGTTTCAATTAATTGCTTAATTACTATCAATTAATACTAAAATTATTAATTAGTATAAATTAATTGCTTAATTAGTCTCAATAAATATTAAAATTATTAATTACTATGAATTGATATTAATGTTTAATTTTTATTAGTATCAATTAATATTAATAATCAACAATTGTTATTAATTAGTATCAAGTAATAATTAATTCATTACAAAAGTATACAATATTAATTTATTAATAATTAATACCAATTAATATTGATTTCTTTAATTAATATTGATTTTTTTTTCTCTTAAGAAAAATACAATTTTTTATTTTTTAATTAATATAAAAATATACAATATGAATTTATTAATAATTAGTACCAATTAATATTGATTTTTTTTTTTCTTTAGAAATATGCAATTTTTTATTTTTGAATTAATATTAATATAATATTAATGTTTGGATATTGACGAGGGCATTTAAGTAATTTTATTCCTCCTACACTAGCTGCGCGTTTAAGTAAAAAATTTAAACACTTACTGACCAGCTTTTGGGATAAGTTGAGAAATAGCTTGATTTAAGGTATAAGCTGGTTAATTTAAGCTGCACCAAATACAATAATTTAGTTTAAATTAAAAAGTTAAAAGTTGAAATAAGCAGTTTATAAGATTTACCATGCAGCCCTTTATTCCAACTAAAAATCCATGGGGGGGTTTGCTCATACAACGTATTTTCTAATGAATCAAGATAAATGGTTGCTAGCCTTTAAATTGTGATCCCCATTGAGGTAAAATAACTGTGAGGTAGGGGTGCAACTCGGGCGGGTTCGGTCGGGTTGGGTGTCTGCCCAAGCCCGACCCGAATTGTATTTGATAGTGCCCAAGCCCGCCCAAGCCTAACCATGAACCCGAGCATTGTTGCCTAAGCCCGGCCCAAGCTTTGTTTTTTGAACTCAGGTTAGCCCAAATTGCCCGAATTGCTCGAATTGCCCGAGTCCAGAAACCTGTAGGTAGATCTAAGGGTAGACATAAAAGATGTTAATCTAATGGTAGAAGACTAACCAAAAAAAAATAAAAAATAAAAATTAAGACTAACTCTTTTACTTAATTTATATATATTATATAATTTATTAAATTATAAATATATTATATATTATATAATTTATATAATATATTAAATTCAAATCATTGCATTAGCATATCAATTCATTTGATTATGATGAGCTTTGAAATTTGATTTGAAAACTTTACATTGAGAAAGGAATGTTGGGAAACAAGTTTTCATGAAATGATTTTGGAGTAAATACGGTAGTAAGTCTTGAAAGGTGGTGTAGATGATATGTGTCGAGCCTTCTAGTTAATACTGGTAAAAATGACAAATTACAGGTGTCGAGCCTTTCAGTTAATACTGATAAAAATAACAAATTGGTAGTACTTGGGACTGAAATTGGCATTTTTAGCCAGCTAGGTTGGGCTGGCCTGGGCTTGGCCAATTTTTCAGGCCTGTTCAAGTTTTGGTTGGGGCTTAGGTTTGAAATTTTTAGCCTACCCAGCCCAGCCCGACCCTCTAATAAAATATGGTATATCTTTAATATAATGTATATATATAAATAATACGATATTTATAAAACATATAAGTTATAATGCTTAATCTTCTAGTGCCCTTTTCTTTTCTTAACTAAATCTACTGACATTTGTAGACCTCCAGGTAACATGATTTCAAAAAAAAAATTGTAATGTAACTAAATACAAATACATTCTGTTTTAAGAGAGTAACAAATCCTGCATATATGTCTAAAATAATGGATTATTTACTCAATTTATTTAAATCAACCACGTCAATTACGCGAACAATAGTTGAGAATCTATCTACGAACAAATTGCCTGTACAGAAAACAACTCAAAAGAGATCAATCTGTAGGGTCTTTACACCCGTTACAGTTGTGAGTTCATGGGCCTTGGCATTCAGTTTTCTTCTTTTTCATTTATAAAAAAAAGAATATAATAGGACTGGGCTGGGGATGAGGAAGTCAGGCCCGATGCTAGGCCGGGCCGGGTTTGGACAAACCTATGTACTAGAAAATACTAATTCCTTAGCAAATTGCGTATTGATATGCACGTTTCGAAATATAGTATACTTTTGTTTCAAAACGGTAAATTTAGTAATCTGAAATGATCTCAAAAGTTGTTGTTGTTGTGTTTTTTTTTTTTCCCTCTCTCTCTCTCTCTCTCTCTCTCTCTCTCTAATATATTCCCTTAAATGTTACCTTAGGACAAAAAAAAATCAAATATATAAATTAAAATCTAAGATGGGTTAAGTTTTGACAAAACAAAAAATAAAAAATGTGTCATAATTAATAGAAATGATTTGCCACATGAAAAATAAATAAAATAAAAAATTATTGGATACCTAATAGTTAAAAGAAATTATCCTAGAAATATTTTAAATTCTTAAGTGTATTATATACAAGTTTACTCTTATTATGTTATATTTTAGAGTATGTGGCGTATCACGTTTTTGTTCCATGTACCGGAATGGTTCATGTTCTAGGTAACGTAGGGACAAACACGAAGTATCTCTTCCTCATGCCAGCACTTTTCTGGGTAGCAAGGTTGTTAACTTTGTTTCAAATGCTTTCTTCATCACTTAGTTATTTGGAATAAATGGCATTGTTTTTGCATATAACAATTGAGATTAAGAATTTAAAAGCAACATAATTTTATTCCCAAGAAAAACAAGCACAGGAAAAGAGTAATATTAGGTGGGGTAGCAATCGCTATTTGAATGACTATACCAACCCAATGAAAACTCATTACACGTTTAATCAATTGAAAATAAATGTGTTAAGACCCTTAAAAAAATTACATCAGTTCAACTCACAATGACGTAACATGATAGGTGTCCACTTTCAATTTGTAACACACTCAACCTATAAAACACGAACACCTCTCTAGAGGCAGTGTATGGGTGTCTGACACGTATCGGACATGCGGTGGACACATGTTGGACACTCTACCTAACGTGTCTCTTTTTTTTTTTTTTCCGCAGCTGGACACACTTGGGACACTCTTGGACACGTTATGGACATGTTGGAGACACGTAGAGAGAAACCCTAATCCATTGAGGGGAGAGAGAGAGAGAGAGGTGAAGAGCCTGTTTAAGCCCTGGATCAAGGCCAGATCGACGTATGTTCTTCAAATTTGTTCATCTCTTCGAATCTATTCTTCTCTCTGTTCATCTCTCTCTCTCTCTCTCTCTCTCTCTCTCTCTCGCTGTGTGTTCAACTCTCTCTCTCTTCTCTGCATGTTTGACTGTCACTCTCTCTTCTACTTGTTTTTTGTTTTTTTTTGTTTTGTTTTGTTTTGTTTTTTTTTTTCGTGTGCGTGTGTTCTATTTGTTTTTCCTTTTTGTGTTTCCCCCTCTTTTCCTTATTTATTTATTTATTTTTGTTATTCTTGTTTGCAAAACATTAACATACATAGAATAAATTATTTTTGTTTGTAGAAAAAAAAATAATTTGTGAATTATATTTCATATTAAAATAAATAAATAAATAAATAAAAACAATACTCCTTCCGTCCCAAATTAATTGTCCATCTTTCCTTTTTTAGATGTCCCAAAATATTTGTCCATTTTGAAAATCAAAACATAAAACTCTAGAGAATTCCAAAACTACCCTTTAAAAATAATTATAAATATATTTAATAATGCGAATAAAAGGGGCAATATGATAAATTAATATATTTTGATTTAACTTCAAAGTAATAATTGCATGTCCCACTAAAAAGTTAGAATTTCTAAAAGGGATAATTATTGTGGGACGAAGAGAGTATATATTTTTGTAATTTTACATATAATAAATAAAAAAATTAGATATATTGAGCTTGTCCTCAGCGTGTCGTGTCCAGTGGCGGAGCCAGAAAATTAAATTAGAAGGGCCATTTATTAATTACAATATCGAAAATTTTTACAAAAATATTTCACGCAAATTTTTACGATTGATTTTGAGAAACATAAAAAAAATAATGTTATTTGTAACTAGTGTATCATGGACAATATAAAAAAAAATATGGATATAAGTCTTAAAATAAATTATATAATGATAAATTATTTTTTTGTATAAAATTTAATTAAAAATTCAAAATAATGGTAATACTACGTCAATATTGGTATATAATATCACTCACTAATAGTAAATAAACACATAGAGAATGAATCTCACATGTCAAATATAACTAGCAATCCAATAAATTTCATATTTTTATAGTGAGATTACTTATATTTGCATGTCTGACATAACTATCACTAATAATGACATCACCGTTACTAAAATTTTATTGTTCTCATAAATTTTTTATACATAATATGGTTTATAATAGTCTCTTTATTTTCAATCAAAATAACCATTATTGTTCTCATAATTTTTAAAATGTCATTGACATTTCACTTTAATAATATTTTTGTAATTTTTTTATTTAAAATATTTTCTTTATGTTTGCAAAATAATAATAATAATAATAAAAAATCTCAAAATCAAGGGGGCACGTGATCCCCTGGTCCCTTACTCTCTCCGCCACTGGTCGTGTCTCCCAATTTTTAAAAATTTGCGTGTCCTGTGTCTGTGTTCGTGTCCGTGCTTCATAGCACTCAACTTTGTATAGGGTCTAACTCCTTTGTCACTACATTGTGGGTGGATTTAAGGGGATTAAATTGTGGTCTCTAGCATTATTATTGAAATCATTTCTTCATCACTTATTTTGGACACAAAGTTGGTCATTCTTAATGTTATGGAATGTAAAATTTCATTACTGACAATGTTTTTCATCTAAATTTTGTAATCCTATATATACACTTAAGAATAACTAGTTTGAGGGAGAAGAATTGGGAATAAACATATTTAATTTTATATATATATGAAACCTTATGATTTAGTTAACTTAAAAGAAGTTGACCACCAACGTAAAAACATGGAATAAAATAAAAACTAAAAAGTTAAGAGGGAGAAGTACGTATAAAAATATTTAATAAAATAAAATTAGTATAGTTCATGCAAGAACCTAAGTTCGTGCCACCCTTCTAGGATAGATGGTATAGATTTAGATCAACGAGTGATAGATGACTGACCATGTGGGTAGCAAACATCCTCTGCAGGAAAGCCTGGTTGTTTATTACATCAATATTCCATCTCCATTAGCCTATGGAGATTCTGGTAATGAATCATGGGAAGGGAACCAAGCATAAGCCAGATCTCCGATATGACCGCAGCAACATCCCATTCAACTACCTGTTTTGAAACACAAAAAATATGATTTTAGAAGCATCAGAATATTCCACATTAAAGGCGTCTGGCTTCAGCTTTTGTTAAATTCTCAAGGAATGTTGACTAGATCCATATTAAGATCAGATCAAAATCTTTCCATACCTTCTGAAATTTGGTACGAACAATCCCAACGAGCCCCATACCACATTAGAAATTTAAAGAGACAAGAGTCCCACCTCCCATGCATCTTATACCAAATTGGAAGTTTAAGGAGCAACAAGGCATCTCAGTTTATATAAAAGCAACCCTCGTCCTGGTGCCCCAAGACGCAGATCAAAAATTAAAAGCATAACAAACAATACTTATATTGAAATGAGAAACAAAAAAAAAACAAAAAAAAAAAAAAAAATTTGAATGTGTATTTGGCTTTGTCTGTGAACCTTCAAAAAAAAAAAGGGGGGCGGGGGGGGGGGGGGGATCAAGTTCGGTTGGGGAAAACCAATACCCGTTATGAGATGGGGAAAAATTATAATAGGGGAAGGGGGACGGGGAATTAATATCCACCTTGTTGGCCCCCATTGCTGGGCCATCAGATAGAGAAAGGGTTGGACACTGAAACTATTTTCTTATTTTATTTTATTTATAATTTTATGTCAAAAACTTTATGCACTCTTTGTTACTTCTGAGATTGTTTGTAATATATCAAGACAATTTATGCATTTTATTGTTGATGGCAATAGTTATAGTTGGTTCAAATTATAGCGAAAATGATACGCACCAAATAGCCCCTTGCTGCTTCCAGTCTTAGTCGCAAGGAAACATCGAGAAATAAAGGTATTTCCGGTGCTAAATTAAACATTCTTTCTTGGCATCGTACATTGAACAAAATATTTCTTTGTTCAACTCTGTTTTGCCAAACAATAATAGTTTACAATTTTTTCTTTTTTCTGGGTCATGTGAAGCATTAAAATCCTTTTTTGTTTGCTTATAAGCCCGTTTCTTCTGGGTCAAAGTTGATTCGATATTGGATTTTTGGGATAGTGCAAGAGAATGCAAAGCAAAATGATGTTGTTCTTTAGTCTGAAACTCGAGATGTGGAAATCATATAAACAATGGTCTTCAAAGTTCTGTGATTGCTCTGCTGTGGATGTTACTACTTTAGTATGTGATTGCCTACTTGATTATAATTGTATTTTATATAATTAAATGTGAACATCAATCCGTCTTCTGAAGCTCATGTCATGCCCTCTAGAGGATATACATGATTTTTGTCTGTCTCAATTTTCTTAAATTCTGTTATTATAGTGAAAAAGATGCAGTTATTGTCTATGGGTTATGGTAGTGTGTATATGTGGTGGGCATCATGCCATTTATTTGTTTTATTGCTTGTTTTTCTTAGGTAATGTTTGGATCAGGGATTTGATGAGGGAAAGGAAATGGGAAGGGAAAAGTGAATGAAATATAAGTTAAATTTTGTTCTCCTTTTTGTTCCTTTTTCTTTTCCTTTCGAAATTACTTCTCAAATTCTTGATCCAAGCACAGCTTTAGTGATATTAATAAACTGTTAGCCTGTGATATGTTTTGGCAAGATAGGGGTATTTTGTTCACTACTGCCTACAAAATGACTGGTATCGTTGATGTTTTGATGAGGTGCTATTTAGTATCCTCTATAATGATTCTAGAATAAGAGGAAAACTATTTACAAGTGTATGGAACTCACCCTTACATTGTTAGACATTCCATTTTTTATTTTAAACCATATGCATTTATACTTTTCTTGTATTTATAGTTTTCTGTTAATCTGACTCTTATTTTGGATTTTCCAGTTGGTGGAAACCTTTTAGGTAGTGTTTGGTTTGTTGGAATAAAATGGAATGGAACATCAAAATGTCCATTCCCATGTTAGGTTGGCTAAAAAAATAATGAAAAATACAACACAAATGGAATCATCATTCACCCATGGTAAGGGAACGATCATTCCATCGGGAAGTCTAATTAATGACCATTCCATTCCATTTCATCTCATTCTAGTGAGCCAAGTAGAGCATTAGAGTTGCAGTAGCATCAGCATGAGTGCATAACTAGATTGGTTTAATACTATCATTCTAAAGGGTTGCACCACTGGGCATATCTAGTCATAGAGGATAAAGCCAAGTTAAGCTGCAACAATATTACTGTGGGCTTATATGCTTCCAAGTTTTTGAATTTGCAAAAAAGAAACTTCTAAGTTTTTGCTTGAACTTTGCTCTCTCTCTCTCTCTCTCTCTCTTCTTTTTTTTTTTTTAAATTTTTTTTTTTAAAATTAAATTAAATATCCAGGTTTTTTAATTTATTTTGACAAAGTTGTTTTTCTCTATGAAGGCCTTAGTGCGGAAATGATATTTTTCTTCAATTTCTGGTTTCTCTATGCCATTATAGATTTCCAATGAAAAGCAAAGCAAAGTGATGAATGCTTCTGACCTGAATTCCAATGTGGAATAATTGCATTAGTGGTCTTCAAAGTTCTCTGATTTCTTTCCTGTATGTTACCATTAAGTGAGCGAGTATTTAAGCACGATAGGTCAACAACAAAGATGCGACATCTTAACATACGTGATTATTATGTATAGGATATGTTATGGTAATTTATATGCAGTGGTGGGTGGTTTGCACATTTTTATTGTGTTTAATTATTTTGTTGGTTCCTAACATTTTTTGAGAGGTACCTAATTTGCTACAAGGCTGATTGGTGCTTAGCGGTTTGGTTCATTGATATTTGTCATGCTAGTTCGGTAGAATCCTTGACAAGGAGTTCTCTACTCCTACATGATTCAAAGTACAACATTTAAGCTACTAAGATGGGATCTTATTGATCTTCACCTAGCTGAAATGAAAGATTAGTGATTTTGAGCACCTAAATACATGGTCTGTTGTGAATATACTTGTTACAGGCTATACGAGCATGGTGCGAAAGTAATAATTTTTCTTCACTCAATTGTCACTTGGCTCTTCTATGCCAAATGACATACTAGAACTGAGGAAAGAACATTCCTTAAATATGATCCTAATTCGTATGCTAGAGTCATCCTATCATTGTTATACCTGACCCAAACTCAACTTGCATATACAATATCTGAAATTGCTATTAGGCTTGTTCATGAATCATTGTGACTGTTTGGTGAGACTAATGGTGTGATTATACCTACAGATATAAAAAAAGATTTCGGTAAATATATATGTTTTGTTTTTATATATTGGGCCCAAAAAGGATCTTCGATGTATAGGGATGGTAATTTGCATCGAAATGATGTGGACTTGCTATGATCGCTCCTGGTGGGACAAAGATGGGAGGTCTGAAGGTGGGGTGGGGGTGATAGGAATGGCAGTTAGGCAAGTTCAATATGGGATACTTCTCTCTTGTAACATCAGCAAATCCTATTCCATCCCTGAACCGACTGGGCAGCATCAGATTGCCAATGGGTTATAATTATTTAAGAAAATTTTGAACTGGTTTATAGTTATCGTAAGGAAATATTTTTAAATTACACAATACAATTTATATATATTATGCCATGTAAAAATCCACAAAGGACTTCATATTGGTGCAGGCTTGGGGCAGCAGGATGAGGATTGCTTTTATATAAATTGGAATGCCTTTTGCTCTTATTGTTTTCTAAGTTCTTTTAAATTAGTTTGTTCATCTTTAATTTTCTTTTTAATTATAGCAATGCGTTGACAATAATTGATAATTGATAATTGATTGACCAGATGCAAGAGATAAGAGTAGTCGTAGATTAGTTAATTCTTTTTGTAAGTCAGCAATATATAGAATAGTATCATTAATTACAAAACACAGATCAAAAATTAAAAGCATAACAAACAATACTTATATTAAAATGCGAAACCAGAATACAAAATAATAGAAAACTTACGATGGTTCACAATTGTGGAAGCAGATCGGACACCACATTCACTAAGTATATTTTTACTCTAAGCACCCTTAAACTTGCACACTCAAATTTGTTCACACTAATTTGGTACTGTACAACAGTCTTTGATATTGTGAAAGCTTGTTTTCTTCAGAAGAATAACTGGCTTTTATAGGAGAGACTTAGATTTGAAATTGTTTGGAGTTTGGGAATCTGCTTTCGCTTTTGTCCTTGTAGAGAATTATTATCTTTGAAAGGCATTATGAGATTGTTTTGTCTGTTGAGAATCCACTTTATGAGCTGGTTTGAGTATTATTAAATTGTTTTGTCGGTGGAAAATTCATTTTATAAGTTAGCTTGTCTTCTTTTGAAATTATTGTATTATAGAGCTGTTGAAATTGGAGATATTACATGATTTACAAATTGTTGAGATCCATGCCTTAACAAGTGTTTGAGTAGTCATCATAAATTAAGTCTTGATAAGTATTGAGTAGTCATTTTGAACTGATTTATCTATATACTAACATAACAAAAGCAAGACTTTGCGTACCACCCATTTTTTGGTGAAGGTGTGTTCGTTGAACAAATTTAACATTTTCATGAGTCATTTTGAATAGAAAGGATAAAAGCGTAAATTTATAATTTCAAAATTGGTGAAGCCTATAGCCCACCTTTTCCCAGCAATTCCTTACCGCTTCAGAAATCGCTGAAAGATAAAGATGTAAATTCAAAACATTATTGTGAGCTACCCACGCTATTGCTGACTTAGGTCATGTTTGGTAAAGTTGTGAAAAAGTGGTTATAGATCATAGTTTAACAGATTATGATTTATAGTTGTGAGTATAAGTTGTTAATCTGTTTAGTGCAGTTGTGAGATTATAGATTTAAGAAGCATAGTAGTGTTTGGTTAATAAGCTGTAAAATAGTTTTTTATTGTATAATTGTCATTTCTACCGTTATATGATGTAAAAATGATTATTTTGTTATTTTTTTTTCAGTTTTAATTTTTTTAAAAAAATTTCATTAATAAAAGTTAATATAATTAGTATTAATTAGGCCAAGTTTGGCATCTTTTAAAAAATTTAAAAAGTTAAAAAGTCACTATCTTATTTAAGTCACATCATCTTATTTAAGTCACATCACTTCTCTAACACATCATTTCAAATCCAATTTAAATCCAACCCATATTTTATAAAAAGTCAAAAAGTGTACTTATTTAGTTTTTCCAAACTTGGCCTTGGGGCTAGTTTGGCATATACTAAATAAGCCAAAAAGTCAAAAAGTCACTATGCTTGTGTTTGGCAAGGGCTTTTTCAGGCTTTTTTGGCTATTTTAGCCACAAAAAACAAAATAGGCTATTTTAGCCATAACAAACAAAACATCACATCCAATCTATAATCATTACATTCTTCTCTCACAAAAAAAGTCAAAAAAGCTAAAAAGTCAAAAAGCCCTTCCCAAACTAAGCTTTTTAGCCCAGGCTAAAATAGTCAAAAAAGCCAAAAAGTCAAAAAGCCAACTCACTTCCCAAACGGAGGCTATCTTATTTAAGTTACATCATCTTATTTAAATCACATCACCTCTCTAACACATCACATTAAACCCAACCCAAATCTAATCCAAACCCACCAATAAGTCAAAAAGTGTAATTTTTTAGGACATCCCAAACCAACCCTTAGTATCAATTAATATAAAAATTGATACATTTGCTAAAAATGGAATGAAAGTATTATTGTCACAATTATTTTTCATTATAAATTAATTAGTTTCAATTAATTGCTTAATTAGTATCAATTAATACTAAAATTATTAATTAGTATCAATTAATTACTTAATTAGTTTCAATTAATATTAAAATTATTAATTACTATGAATTGATATTAATGTTTAATTTTTATTAGTATCAATTAATATTAATAATCAACAATTGTTATTAATTAGTATCAAGTAATAATTAATTCATTACAAAAGTATACAATATTAATTTATTAATAATTAATACCAATTAATATTGATTTCTTTAATTAATATTGATTTTTTTTCTCTTAAGAAATATACAATTTTTTATTTTTTAATTAATATAAAAATATACAATATGAATTTATTAATAATTAGTACCAATTAATATTGATTTTTTTTTTTCTTTAGAAATATGCAATTTTTTATTTTTGAATTAATATTAATATTTGGGTATTGACGAGGGTATTTAAGTCATTTTATCCCTCCTACACCAGCTGCGCGTTTAAGTAAAAAATTTAAGCACTCACTGACCCGCTTTTGGGATAAGTTGAGAAATAGCTTGATTTAAGGTATAAGCTGGTACCAAACTCAATTTAATATAAATTAAGTTAAAAGTTGAAATAAGCAGTTTATAAGATTTACCATGCAGGCATTTATTCCAACTAAAAATCCATAGGGGGTTTGCTCATACAACGTATTTTCTAATGAAACAAGATTAATGGTTGCTAGCCTTTAAATTGTGATCCCCATTGAGGTAAAATAACTGTGAGATCAATATGCCTGTGTTCTGGAGCGCCGTTACTTTTATCTCTACAAGCCAATCAATAGCTGCCAACACTGCCCCATTTTTTCAGGACTGAAATTGGCATTTTTAGCCAGCTAGGTTGGGCTGGCCTGGGCTTGGCCAATTTTTCAGGCCTGTTCAAGTTTTGGTTGGGGCTTAGGTTTGAAATTTTTAGCCTACCCAGCCCAGCCCGACCCTCTAATAAAATATGGTATATCTTTAATATAATGTATTTATATAATAATACGGTATTTATAAAACATACAAGTTATAATGCTTAATCTTCTAGTGCCCTTTTCTTTTCTTAACTAAATCTACTGACATTTGTAGACCTCCAGGTAACATGATTTCAAAAAAAAAATTGTAAATGTAACTAAATACAAATACATTCTGTTTTAAGAGAGTAACCAATCCTGCATATATGTCTAAAATAATGGATTATTTACTCAATTTATTTAAATCAACCACGTCAATTACGCGAACAACAGTTGAGAATCTATCTACGAACAAATTGCCTGTACAGAAAACAACTCAAAAGAGATCAATCTGTAAGGTCTTTACACCCGTTACAGTTGTGAGTTCATGGGCCTTGGCATTCAGTTTTCTTCTTTTTCATTTATAAAAAAAAGAATATAATAGGACTGGGCCGGGGATGAGGAAGTTAGGCCCGATGCTAGGCCGGGCCGGGTTTGGACAAGCCTATGTACTAGAAAATACTAATTCCTTAGCAAATTATGTATTGATATGCACGTTTCAAAACATAGTATACTTCTGTTTCAAAACGGTAAATTTAGTGATTTGAAATGATCTCAAAAGTTGTTGTTGTTGTTGTGTTTTTTTTTTTCTCCTCTCTCTCTCTCTCTAATATATTCCCCTAAATGTTACCTTAGGACAAAAAAAAAAAAAATCAAATATATGAATTAAAATCTAAGATGGGTTAAGTTTTGACAAAACAAAAAATAAAAAATGGGTCATAATTAATAGAAATGATTTGCCACATGAAAAATAAATAAAATAAAAAATTATTGGATACCTAATAGTTAAAAGAAATTATCTTAGAAATATTTTAAATTCTTAAGTGTATTATATACAAGTTTACTCTTATTATGTTATATTTTTTAGTATGTGGCGTATCACGTTTTTGTTCCATGTACCGGTTCGTGTTCTAGGTAACGTAGGGACAAACACGAAGTATCTCTTCCTCATGCCAGCACTTTTCTGGGTAGCAAGGTTGTTAACTTTGTTTCAAATGCTTTCTTCATCACTTAGTTATTTGGAATAAATGGCATTGTTTTTGCATATAACAATTGAGATTAAGAATTTAAAAGCAACATAATTTTATTCCCAAGAAAAACAAGCACAGGAAAAGAGTAATATTAGGTGGGGTAGCAATCGCTATTTGAATGACTATACCAACCCAATGAAAACTCATTACACGTTTAATCAATTGAAAATAAATGTGTTAAGGCCCCTAAAAAAATTACATCAGTTCTACTCACAATGACGTAACATGATAGGTGTCCACTTTCAATTTGTAACACACTCAACTTATAAAACACGAACACCTCTCTAGAGGCAGTGTATGGGTGTCTGACACGTATCGGACATGCGGTGGACACGTGTTGGACACTCTACCTAACGTGTCTCATTTTTTTTTTTTTTTTTTTTTTTTTTTTTTTTCATTGAGGGGAGAGAGAGAGAGAGAGAGGTGAAGAGCCTGTTTAAGCCCTAGATCAAGGCCAGATCGACGTATGTTCTTCGAATTTGTTCATCTCTTCGAATCTATTCTTCTCTCTGTTCATCTCTCTCTCTCTCTTTCGCTGTGTGTTCAACTCTCTCTCTCTTCTCTGCATGTTTGACTGTCACTCTCTCTTCTACTCGTTTTTTGTTTTTTGTTTTGTTTTGTTTTTTTTTCGTGTGTGTTCTATTTGTTTTTTCTTTTTGTGTTTCCCCCTCTTTTCCTTATTTATTTATTTTTGATATTCTTGTTTGCAAAACATTAACATACATAGAATAAATTATTTTTGTTTGTAGAAAAAAAAAATAATTTGTGAATGATATTTCATATTAAAGTAAGTAAATAAATAAATAAATAAAAACAATACTCCTTCCGTCCCAAATTAATTGTCCATCTTTCCTTTTTTAGATGTCTCAAAATTTGTCCATTTTGAAAATCAAAACATAAAACTCTAGAGAATTCCAAAACTACCCTTTAAAAATAATTATAAATATATT